ATATATATATATATATATATAATATCTTCAAACTTATATTTTATTCAAAAATAAAAACATTATCGTTTTTCTCAAAACCACATAAAACCGTAATATAACATCAACATGAGACAGAATAAAACGAAATATTAAAATCGAGATATATATCTCGCTGCATTACGCGATTACCATTCTAGTTCTATAAAATAGAGAAAATTAAGGTTTGTGTTTTTGTCCTTTTCTTTTTGTTCCAACAAGTTATCTATACCATTCTCTAAAATATCTAAAAATCAAAGTTTGGAGAATTTTCTAGAACTTGATTGGTGGTGAGAAAAATGATTTTTTATGGGAAATTGACTCAAATAACTATTTCATCCATTCAAATTGGTAGTTGTTTATCTCTCGTGTTTACACAAATGTCACTATGTCCGCAATATCTACATGGACTTGACTAAAAGACAAAATAAAATCAAATTCCACCAGGTTAGCAAGTAGCACCAGTGCAATTGCGTACCTGAGTTGAATCTAATATTCTTTTTTTGTTCTTTAATCAGGTCCGCAAAAACACGAAGAATCTATTGGAGATGTTTTTTAGTTATATATTTTAGAGAAATTGTAGAGAACCTATCATTAATGTGGGATTCTTCCAATCGTTAAAGCATTCCAACAAATTCTCCAAATAAATTATTTTAATTATATAATTAATATTAAAATATTCAAAATAAATATTTTGGTGTTATTTTGTTTCCGTGTGAGTGTTTGGTTAGATATATTAGACAATAATCAATATAAATATAAATAAAAGTAACTGTTTGGTCTTATATAATTGCCGCACAACGTGTAATAAATAGCTTGTGAAAAAGAAAAAAAAACTAACAATATAAGAAGCATCTCAACTCCACGTCTTCCCATTTTAACATTAAATTCAACAATTTTTCCTCGATTACCTTCAATTTCACTTTTTTCTTTCATCATCGTTACTGACAACACCTGAAATGGTTATAGAAAAAGAGGAAGCACACACCCAATGCACTAAAACAATGCACACATATCTATATCTTATAGTATACTAGAATGATATTCGCTCAATGCATCGAGATACATCTTGACTTCAATGTTTCGTTTTATATTTTGGTTCTATCGTTGTTATAATGCGATTTTATGTGGTTTTGAGAAAACGAAAATGCTTTTATTTTCCAATTAAATATAAATTTGAAGCTATTATAAAATTTTGAAAAAAATAATTGATATTAGTGTCAAATTAATTATTTAAAAGTTTTCACTTTTGTGTAATATTTCTAATTCAAATTTTTATTATAATTTAATTGACATTTAATAACGAACTAACTTTTTTTTTTGGTTTAATAAATATTTTTTATAAGATAATAATTAAGTATCCTGGTAGAACTCAATGTTTATCTTAATTATATTTTAGATTTTTTATATTTAAAATTATGTTATATCATATATTTGATCATGGTTATCTGCAGTTAGTTACACGAATTCAAACATAAAACTTTAATTAGATGTACTCATACACATTCTACTTGTAATATTGAATTCTAAGTAATATGTATCACTAAACAATGCTTTATGCATAAAAAAACAGTTTTAAGAGTTTTTTGTCAAATGCTTTATAATATAGTATATATATAATTTGTTTTTTCTCGAGATTTGGATGGGTGAAACTGTTGTTGGTTGAGTTCGTTTAACATTGGACCAAATTTATTTGCTTGATTTCTCGTTTAAGCTTATTTCCTTTTGGATACTCAATTAGTCTAATCAATTAGTTGAAATTCTTATGGAGAATTTTTATTCAAAGACTTATATATATATATATATATATATATGTGTGTGTGTGTGTGTGTGTGTGTGTAACTGTCTTAGAACTTAATAAAGTAACGGTTGAATTCATTCAATCCAAAGAAAGTTTCCGAATTGAGTTCTTGAAATCTTGTAATCAAAGCTTTAACAAGTCGAGCTTAAGGCTTTGAGATGGTGTTTTTCTAGTTTGAAAAGTTGATCATACACGAGAATTTAAGAGCTTATTCAAATTCTCATTTGAAATCGACCTGATTGAAGAACTTATTTTAACATGTATAAATCTAAGGAAAAGTACAGGTTGTTAGAGTTTGTTAACAACCATATCCATTTTGGGTCTGTTTTATATGTTTACATGTTCAATGATAAGTACTGGTATCTTAACTGAAAGCAAATTACTTTTGAGTTTTTAATTCATCGTTTTAAATCCATTTTTATTGTAAGATTAGTCTAATTAATCAAATCCCAACCCCCTTCGTTTATTCTTTCAGTTGTCCGTTTTGTGGTGATAATACAAGTCAAGTATTTATGTATTTGACCCGACTTATAACTATTACAATTTTGACTGTAATTAAAACATATTATTTGGTGAACTCCGTGTTTTTTTTAATAAAGTTATATGTATATAATAATAATAATTTATAAACTTTAATTTAAAAATATTTAAAAAAATGATGAGAAAATACTTTAGAATATATTTAATTATGGGTTTATGATGTTGAAAGTGACGAGGGGATGATAAGGATTCAACATAGTCGCTTTCTTTGGTCCATAACCAAAATTCCAAATTCCACTAAATAAATAATAATTAAAAAAAAAGTCAAATATGATTCAAATTCTTATTCCCCCAAAAGCATATATATATATATATATATATGACGTTTTAAATGCCAACCATTACATTTGTACAATCAATACAACCTAATTAATTAAGATATTTATAGAAATAATAAAAGTTCATTTATTATGATTTAAATATTTATGAAAGATTACTATAGTTTATTAATTATGATTAATACTTTATATTATGAAACAATCTAAATTTTTATGAAATCACATATTTATCAAATTAAATGGATGGTTGAGATTGAATTGTATTGATTATACAAATGTAAAAAAATTGTATAATAACTCACTCCCCTCTCTCTATATGTAATTTCAATTAAGAAAACAAAAGAAATCCAATTATTGTATTGTGTGTACATGTTTCTAAATCACTTTTCATTTCATTTATGGAAAAAAGATAAAAATAATTTATAAAAGAAGCACAAATATATTAATTGATATTATTTTAATAAGAAAACGAAAAAGTCCATTTATTCCATATAAAATGGTCCAATTGATGCTTAAAGTTGTCAAATGTTAAAAGTGGAATAAACACATATTCTTGTCCGGGTTACTTTTGTTACTAATAATTTAGGTGGATAGTGAATACGACGTTTTATCTATATTTTTATATACAAAAAAAAAACGTAAACAGGATCCGTTTGATTTAATGATAGCAAGTCCATATATCGAGTTGGTCATTTAATTTCCATCATCGTTTTTGATTTGTGTACATCGGACATAACCTTTGTTTCCGTGTTTGTACGTAACATTGATTGATAAAGATATGACACGTTTTAGGAAATGATCAAATAAAATATAACCAATGTATGTCATCGTCTAGAAAATGCAGCTTTTTATTTATCATCTATTTCACCAGTAAAATAGTATCAAGATTAAGAGGTTGTTTATTTTTTTATCCCATTAAACCTTCCATGAGTTAAATTATCTCTCGAGATAAATATGTTCGATTGAGGAATGGGAGACGAAGAGTTTGATGGAGGCAAAAAGAAAGGGTTGGATCATTTCTAACGTGTTTATGACATTAATATGTTTGATATCGCTTAACGAGGACAAACAGGGGTCCTGACTTATTCCATATAGCTATTTTCGCTTAATGGCTTAATAAGCCATAAAGAAACACCCCTCTATAGTTGAGCTCTTTAGTTGGTTTTGTATTAAGTTATGCATGAATCAAGTTGTCTATGTGGATTAATATATCTGTATAATTGGAAAGATTTTTGCTTTAGAGATTTTATTTTTCATAGATGAAAATAACATGTTTTTTTTAATTGGAAATAACAAGTTTAGAAGAAAAAAATTTGACTTTCTACATAAAGCCTCACCCTAAAAGTTTACTAATTAAATCACTTTTTATATTAATAAGTCAATATCAATCAGTAATGCATAATTGACCGAATAAGTTGTCAGTCATGTTAAATTCATTAAGCTGCTAACAAACAAACTCCAAGTCATCCAAACCATCAAATTCATAAGCTATAAGTAAACAACTTTAAATATAAAAAAGAATTGGTTATAAAAACATATTTTAAAATTTTAATTAGTCATAACTTTTATTTAATATTTTATTTACTAAATAATTTACAAGACAGATGGTTTTGAATTTTAAAAAGATATTTATAATTTAATTTTCGTTTTTAATAAAAAATATATTAGGTGTGAAAAAGGAAAAAGGGAAATAGTAGTTCCCAACTTCCCATGAGTTAATCGCAACACCAAAATTCCAAATGGGTTTTTATGCACACCATTAATTTTGGTCAAAATGGAGTGTGAATGAGAGAGAGAGAGAGAGAGAGGACGTGTCGTGGATGAAAGGTGCATCTGTATACTCGTAGTGTATTCTTTTATGGTGGAATCAATTTCTTGAGGTCAAGTTTCCATTCTTTCATTCTAATACTTCTACAGGAAAACCAATCGAAAGAGATCTTACATCCAAGAATCATCGTATTCACAACATCTCGTACTCGATTTGGTCTTAGAATACAAACACACAATCTTTTGGTCTAAAACAAACAAACCCTTCATTATTACCTCAAATCGGCTCTGTTCTTCTTCCAATCTTTGATCACTTAGAATCAAGATTAGCTTCTTCTTCTGGGTCTCAATCAAGATTCGTTGCTATGCATTCGGAAATCTAGTAGCTAACGATTTGATTGTAAATTAATTTCCCCTTTTCAGAGTTTTGAATATAGATAGAGAGAGAGAGAGAGAGAGAGAGAGAGAGATTAATGGGTTGTTTTTCTTGTTTTGATTCGAGGGTGGAGGAAAAATCGAATCCTCAGAAAGTTGGGGCTGATCGTCCTGAAGTCCACCCATCTGCTCCTTCCAATATCTCCAGATTACCCTCTGGTAAGTTTGTTGTATTGTGTGATTACCAACATTGGTTCTTTGATCTGATCTGGGTTTGTATTCATTACGAATCCCCTTTTTCTTTCTTACATCACCATGATTGATTATTGCTTCGGATGTCCTAAATGGGTTTCTTCTTTTTCTTACTTCATATTACGTAGGCCCCATCAAATCATACCACAGATCATCATTTTCATAGAAATATGACTAGAATGAATTGCTACCTATATGATTGATCCATTAGAGCTATAATGGTTGAGATGGCTTAATCAAGTGATACTATATAGCACCCTATAAGCAATCTAGTGCCACTTCTAGTTCAATTATGTGCCATTTTAGTTTCCAGAAATCAGCATCTAAGTTGGGCAAGAAACCTCTGTAAAGATTTTCTTGATCTGTGGAATTGAGCTGTTATTGATCTTGTGCAAAATTTTATTGTACATGATAAATGGGTTCTTATGATAACTGGTTTTATTACTGTTAAATTATTGGATTTGCAGGTGTCGATCGACTGAAATCAAGAAACAATGTGAGTTTGAGGAGGGAATCATCGGGTCCAAAAGATGGACCTTATAGTCAGATTGCTGCTCATACGTTCACTTTCCGTGAGCTTGCAGCTGCAACAAACAATTTCAGCCCTGATTGCTTTTTAGGGGAGGGAGGCTTTGGCCATGTGTATAGAGGACGTCTTCAGGGTAGTGGTCAGGTATACTCTTTCTGTTTCTACGATTTTGATTTGTTGTTCGAAGAGATGACTATTGTATGTGCCATCGTGATCAAGTTGTCAACTTTTATTGATTGAGAAATTCTTTAATCTTTAATAAGATACACTTGGGCATTTAGATAACCAAACAAACAGAGTAAATCCCACGTAGGTAGGTCCCCCCCCCCCCCCCCCCCCAACCAAGTGGGGGGAGGGGGGGGGGGGAGAGATGTACACGAACCTTCTTTCTATTCCAAGGGGCAGAGAGGTTGTTGTCGTGAAGACCCTTGTCTTGTAAATCAAAAGACATGGTTGAGGAAAATATGTTAAAACAATCAAGGAAACGTGAAGCGCAATACTAACAACTGCTAATACAGAAAGAAGAAGCCAAGAAATCCCTCTTTGTGACGTAAGGCTCTGATAACCTAATCGTCACTGCGCTACCCCTCCCCCGACTCACCCTCTAAATTCTCCAAACTCCCCTCTTCCTGAGTCCCGACCAAGCTACATGTCCCTACTCAACACTCGGGGATTTTGATCTTAAATATATATTTTAGGGCCTGTATGTTAGCAGCTTAACGAGCTTAATGGAACTCACAGCTTATTCGGTCAGCTATACGTGACTGTTTGGTAGTGGCTTAATGATATAGAAAGTGGCTTATTCAGAGTAATCTTTTACGCCGGGGGGAGGGGGAGGGGGAGCTTTATGCAGAAAGCAAAAAAAATTCCAAACCTGTCCCTCCCAATTAAAATACACTCTTTTTCCGTCTATGAAAAAACCCTCACAAACAATAACCTTTCCAATCTATATAGACAGATGAATCCACACTCCATATAGGACTTAATGGAAAACCAACCAAACAAACCCTTAGTTATTGTATATAGGGTAGTTGAAGAATCCGAGCAAAAATAACAGTGGCTATCCTGTGTAAGAATAAGCATTCTTCAGTTTCTTGTTGTGCGGGTAAGCTTAGTCCAAGAAATGTCAATTATGATCCATCATTAACCTATGGTCGAATATTAAGATGATAGGTGATTATCTTGTTTTGGAGTGCATTTGTCTTGACGTTATTTCTCAAGCCAGCCTTTTGGTTAACACCACCGTGTGTTGTTATATAAAAGGATGAGAATAATTGCAATTTATAGTAATATGGAGTTCCTTCATCCATAATCTACTTGATGGCTACATGGAGGGTAAAACAAAACAAAACAAACCCAGGGCCAGTTTGTTAGCACTTAATGGGACTGACAGCTTATTTGGTCAGCTATACATAACTGTTTGGTAGTGGTTTAATAATATAGAAAATGACTTATTCAGTAAGCTTCTAGAGAGGAGCTTTATGCAGAAAGCCAAAAAATTTCCAAACCTGTCCCTCCCAATTAACGAACACTCTTCTTTCATTTATGAAAAAACCCACCTAAACAAAATATTCCCAATGTATACAGACAGATTAATCCACACCGACAACTTCATTCATACAAGACTTGATGAAAAACCAACCAAACAGCAAGTTTTTTTTGGGGGTGGGAGGTGGGGGGGGGGGGATAAGATGTATGTAGACGTATCCTCTTTCTCAAAAGATGGAGGGATTGTTTATGAGAAAACCCCCCCGGCTTGCAAAACAGATTTGGAAAGCATAGCTGTAAGCCACAACATTTATCATATTCCATTATCTCTTAATCCGTCACATCTCTTGTTGAGCTATTTCTTGAGCAAAGGCTTAACAGACTTCTTACTTGATCTCATTTTACTTGGTTAATCATATTTATCGTCCAAACCATATTGCTTAAAGTTTGTGCTTATTAACTCCGTGTTTTACAGGCTATAGCTGTGAAACAATTGGATAGAAATGGGCTTCAGGGTAACCGGGAATTTCTTGTGGAAGTTCTTATGCTCAGCCTTTTACATCATCCCAACCTCGTGAATTTGATTGGGTACTGCGCTGATGGGGACCAAAGACTTCTTGTTTATGAATTCATGCCGTTGGGTTCATTGGAAGATCACCTTCATGGTAACCATTTTGGTGTTTTTCTTAAATTATAATAATCCAACAAAGTTGATCGGAGGCTGCAATCTGAATGATTGATGTACTATTTGCAGATCTTCCACCAGATAGAGAACCGTTAGATTGGAACACAAGAATGAAGATAGCCGCTGGTGCAGCCAGAGGTTTGGAGTTTCTTCACGATAAGGCTAACCCACCTGTTATTTACAGGGACTTCAAATCGTCCAACATTTTGCTGGGTGAGGGATTTCAGCCAAAGCTTTCCGACTTTGGGCTTGCGAAGTTGGGTCCCACTGGAGACAAGTCTCATGTTTCGACAAGGGTCATGGGAACATACGGTTATTGTGCTCCTGAATACGCCATGACTGGTCAACTCACGGTCAAGTCTGATGTTTACAGCTTTGGCGTGGTCTTTTTAGAGCTTATTACTGGTCGCAAAGCCATTGACAGCACTGCACCACAAGGACAGCAGAATCTCGTCACATGGGTAAACTTCTTTGTTTCCATCCCGTGGCTTGTTTTGTTTAATTAATATAATCATGTTCTCGAGTGTTTTAAGGTTCTTGCTGCATCTAACATTCAATTGAATAAACCTATTGCCGCATTGTAGAGTCGCTCTAATAAGTTTTTAGGCCCGGGAGATTCCTTGCTAACGTCCCATGGATGGGGCACGTCAAATACATCTAAATGTTCTAATAGACTGTTTTATAGGACTTAGCTTTATAGGACCAATTGACCAAACAATTGTGCGTCTTATGGAAATGTGTTACAGTAAGTTGATAGGACGTTTTTGGGTGTCCTAACAAGTTTTTTTTTGACATTATTTATAAAAGTGTCTGATAAAAACAAGTGTCCGATAACCAATTTTGTTGTAGTGACATGGTTATACGCTCTTCGAATTGTGAATAAATTTATGCGTTATCTGTGATTGCAGGCACGACCCTTGTTCAACGATAGAAGGAAATTTGCATCATTGGCAGATCCGAGGCTAGAAGGTCAATATCCAATGAGGGGACTCTACCAGGCTCTAGCCGTAGCTTCCATGTGTATCCAAGAACAAGCTGCTGCTCGGCCTCTTATCGGAGATGTAGTCACTGCCTTATCTTATCTTGCGAACCATGCTTACGACCCTAGTGCAGCTGCAGCCACCGGTCATAGCAACCGACACAACAACGGGGAGAAAAACGGACGAATTTCAAAGAACGAAGAAGGTGGAGGATCGGGGCGTAGCAGATGGGATCTCGAAGGATTGGAAAAAGGAGACTCTCCGAGAGAAACTCCAAAGATGCTGAACCGAGATCTTGATAGAGAACGGGCTGTTGCAGAGGCTAAAATGTGGGTCGAAAAAAGACGGCAAAGTGCCCAAGGAAGTTTTGATGGTAATAACAACGGTTAGCCGGCGAGTTGTTCTGTATTTTGATCACTAGAAGGAACCGAAGGATGATTCGAGTTTTTGTTTTTGTTTTTTTTTTTTCCGTTTTGGCCGACACCCGATTTAGGAAAAGCTCGGAGAAAGAGTGTATAGTGAACGATGAGGAGAACGGGAAAACTTGCGACGTTTTATGGTTCATTTTTTGTTCTACACAAAGAGGCGTTTCAGTGCTTTGTGGGTGTCTGTTTTTCTACTGTAACATATTGGTTGATGACATGATACACAACACAACATGGTTTTGGTCCATTCTTTTAGCTCCAACAGCATCCCGTTTTTACTCGCCGGAAAATAGTCGGTTTATCAGGGCTGATTTCTTGCAATCAAAATTTGTCGGGATTAGTCTCCAGGCATAGTTTGGAACACCCTTCAAAATTGGTCGGTTTTATAAATTGTAAGATGATTGCATAAAAGAGTTTTCTTTTATTACGTATGGGATTAATTAAAAAACGGTCGGTGACGATTTGCACAAAAGATATTAAAGATCTTTTTGTAAACAATTTTAAGTGGGTGTTTAGGATTGCTTATAAAAACAACTTATTGACTTATTCCGGTGTGACACCGGTAATAAGCACTTTTGAGYGTTTGGATAAACAACTTATACCGGTGCCAAACTGGTAATAAGGAGTTTTTGAAGAAGTTAAACCCTTTTAACTTATAATAAGTTGATAAATACTTTTGTAAAAAAAACATAAGTTGTTTCAAATAAACAGTCCAAAATACCCACTAAATAGCTTGTCAATAAACTAACTTATAAGCTAGTTTATATACATTTAAATAATTATTTAAAAAATAAATTAATTTTATAAACTAGTTTATATTTATAAACCAATTCATAAAAATACAAATTATAATATATACTAAAAACGTATACAAATATAAAATTGAGCAAGAGACTCCCGTACGATTCTTGCAAGTTCCAGAAGCGTCTATCTGGGGTTACACCAAAAAGATTTATAATAAACAACTTGTACATTTTGGACGCTATTTCTATTATCAAAATCTAGTAGAAGGTATTCATGCAATATAATAAAATATATCTGAATTTTAATATTTTATTTTATTTTTATTTTTATCGATGTTATAATATGGTCTTAGCATCAAATTAATTATTTAAAATTTCTTATTTTTTGTGTAATTTTTAATTCATTTTTTTAATTATAATTTAATTTAAGTTCAATAACGAAGTAATTTATATTTGATTTAATAATATAATTTTCTTATAAAGGCAAATTATTTTGTTAGAACTCGATAGTTATCCTAATTATATCTTAAAAAAATTATATTATAAATTGAGATGTTTATCCTTCATTTGATTATGTTTATCTGCAGTTAATTACATTAATTCAAAACATGGAGATTTAATAAGTTATATTTATGCATAATTTACTTGTAATCTTAAATTTTAAGTAATATGCATTAATATACAGTACTTCATGCATGAAAAATGGATTTTAAGAGTTTTTGTCAAATGCTTTATAATATAGTATAGATATACTTGAGTTTTTGAAAAATTCATTAAAAAGGTTATTTTTGAGGGTTGGTTTTGTCCGTTAGTAATTTTCTTTTCAAATTTATCAAAATAGTCATAAGTCTGTAAAACTCTATTTTTGCAATTGTGGTTACAACTAAACGACAAAAAAAATTAAATTTTCTACCCTTATCCGTAAAAAAATTACATTTTACACCAAGATCTGTAAAAAAAAGTTACATTTCTCACTCAGGTTCGTAATTTTTTTACATTTTTCACATAGGTCCACAAAGAAAATTAAGGACCTAGGACTATTTTGATAAATTTTGTAAAAAAAAGGTTAAGAGGTAAAACAACACGAACAAATTGACTATTTTAATTAATTTCCTAAAGTTGTTGGGTATTGAAGTGACGCTACAAAATTATAGTATTATTTTTTTTTAACGAAAAAAGTGTTTGGTCAGATTTTCTAAAATACTTTTTTATTTAGACTCTTTTTGGTTTTCTGGATTTTAATTAGATTTTTAGGCGGGTTTTATTCTGGTCGAGCCTGTCATCAAAATTTCAGTCTGGTTGAGTTTTGAGACTTAGCTGGGATAGAGTTCCAGGTTCGCAAAGTCCGGGTATTTTTAGACCGAACTTTGGGTTTGGATTTTTTTGTACATATCTATATGATACCTTTCAAAACTAAACCAATTAATTGTTTATTTAACATTAATTTGTAAGAGAAACTCCAACAGATTCTCTAAAATGAAGAATTTGAGGGTTTTCTGCAAACTTTTTGCTCAACAAATTCTCCATAACTTCATCCAAATTGAAGAAAAAGTAGGAGGCAGTGTGAAATTCTCCAAATATTACAATATAATTAATATTGTAATATTCAGAATATAAAAACTGTTAAAGTTGATTATATGTCATTTTTAAATTTTAATTCTCTATTTTAGAAATTTCTTAAAAAATCCATCAGATATACTCAAACTCTACAGAGGATGGTCGCACAACACAAAACGCAGAGCATCTCTAAAAGGAAAAATTGAAGTGTCTTCTAGAAACTACAGTTTAAAAGAGTTCTTATAATAACCTCACATTTTCTCAGTTGTTGTATAAAAACTTTAATTCTTACCTTGAATTTTGTATGAAGTAACATTTTATTAGTTTTTAAATTAAATGTTTAATATTTATAATAAAGAATAATAATAATTATATATGTTGAAAAAAAAATACATGGGGTCAACAAAAGAGGATTCTTACAATAAGCATCGGTGTAGACTTTTATAAAAATTCTTAATTTGGTGAATTAAAATTGACGTGGCAAAAAAATAAATAGGTTTTTGTAATTTTTGTTGTCAAATTACTTTCAATTCAACAAATTAAGAATTCATAGGAAATTCCATGAACGAATTAACCCATTTTATAAGTCCATGTATTTTTTTCAACATCAATAATCATATAATATTTATAAATAAATACTAAATATTTAATTTAAAACATATAAAAATCTTGCAAATTTTTATTTTGCACCAACTTAAAGGTAAGAATCAAAGTTCTTTTACAAAAACCAACATAGATAATTCTTATAAGAACCTTACGTCTTTTGAGTTTTGAACAAGAATCTTAGATCTTTTCTCGAAGTTGATATGAAATGACAATTTGCTAGTTTTTTTTTATATTTTCTAGATTTGTATATCCAACATAATAATTAATAACTATATATATATATATATATATATATATATATATATATATATATATAGGGCCTATTCAAGGGAGAACTGAGTTGTTTGTGGTAACTGTGAAAACCAATATTAACCACAAATCAATAGATAAATTAGGAAATTTATAAATTTGGTAATTTTAAATTAAAATCTTAATGTAAGGATATTTTTGGTATTTTAAAACTCTCCTCTCTCCTCTCTTCTCTCTCTGGCCACCGTTCTCCGGCCTCCGGCCACCATCCTCCGGTGATACCACTATGATACCACTGTGATACCTAAAAATAGTGACTCTGTTAAACAAAAGATACATTGTGATACCTAATCATATATAAGATGCATAGTGATACCACTGTGTTACATCTTCGATCGATCACACAAACGACATCAATGTGATACCCAAACACATATATGATGCATTGTGATACCATTGTAGTATCACCGGAGGACAGTGGCCGGCGAATGGTGGCCGGAGGACGGTGGCCGGCGAACGGTGGCCGGAGGACGGTGGCCGGAGAGAGAAGAGAGGAGGGAGGAAAGTTGTAAAATACCAAAAATATCCTTGCATTAAAATTTTAATTCAAAATTGCCAAAATTATAAATTTCCTAATTTATCTATTGATTTATGGTTAATATTGGTTCTCACCGTTACCACAAACTAATTAGTTCTCGTTTGATTAGACCCCTATATATATATATATATATATCTTATATTATACATGGGACATTTATAGGAACTACACTAATGAGTTGGAAATGACTAGGCATCTACTAAAAAGACTCAACTTCAATTACAAAAAAAAAAAAAAAAAACATTAAAAACGTTTTTAATGGTAAAATAATAAATATATTATTATAAAGAGGCCAACATTTTGGACTTTCATTCTTTAAGGACCGTTTACTTAAATGCTTATCCGGTAAGCGTTTATCGTTAAGGGTCAACACTATAATTTATTTTATCGGGTAATATTGTAGTGTATCAAAATGTATCTTATACAATAATTACCTGGTAAACGCTTATTCGGGTAAGAGTTGTCACCCTCACTTTCCGGGTAAGACTCTCAATTCTTATCATCACTCTTACCGGGTAAGATTCTTGCCCCTTGCCATGTTCATCCGGTAAGAAAATTTATCCGATAAGTACTTACCGAGTAAGCGTTTAGTAAACGACCACTTAGTGTTGGGTTGTAGATAAAAACACCTTCATTTTTATGTTTTTTGTGTTGAGTTGAAGATAAACACCCCTCCATTTTTGTGTTTTTAGTGTTGTTAGAAATGACCTTAGAGCAGCTCCAACATTTTTTCTATAATTTCTTTTTCTAAAATAATGAACCAAAAGTTAAAATATATAACAAGAATTACATTCAATTCCAACATATTTTCCATTTTAGATATTTCAACATAAATTATATTATTATAAAATTTCTAATTTTATCATCTCAATACAGATTTTAAAAAAACTTAACAACAATTCAGTCTCATTAGTAGAATTGAATAAAATAATCGGTTATCTCTCCTTACATCATGTTTTAGAGAATTCATTAAAATTAAAAACTCTTCATGTTTTCTCTGTTTTAAAGAACATTATAAAGTATCAGTTGATTTTTATAAATAAATTAAAAAATTTAATTATAAAAATGGTGCGACCTCCTTTACGGGTGGGGTATGACAACATGTACGAAATTGTTTCAATTCTAATACCAAACAAATTTATGCGTCAACGTGGACGTGCTGAAGAAGTTTTGATGGCAGGTTTTATAATTCAGAAACATGATGATGATGTTTACACTACAAGTATATATCAAAAATCATGAATCGAAGTTGAATCCTAAGAATATTCCCGCAATTTCTGGGTGTTCATGGATACCGTCTTTAAATTCATCTCCCCCGATTCTTCCAAATCCCCCCTAAATATGGCTCTCAAAGCTGTTCATGTTACACAAGTTCCTAATCTTGATCAAGTACCCGATGATCTCAATCACTCTAATAATGCTCCTCCTGCATTCAACATTTACCCTCCCATGTTTCATAACAACTCGTCCCATCACTTTATGATCATGGGACACAGAGGAACCGGAATGAATTTATTGCAATCGCCTGATCCTCGAATGAAATCCCTCAAGGAGAATTCGATTCTCGCTTTTAATGCAGCCGGAAAATTCAATTTGGATTTCATCGAATTCGATGTTCAGGTAGCTTTTTGTCTTTTTTGATTTTGATTTTGATTTCGTTTCTCTTCTTTTGTTAATTCTTAGATTTGATTATGTATCTGGGATCGAACACGTTTAATTTCCGTTTCCGATCATTAGAGGTGTCTAGAATTGGATTCGACGGTGGCCGCGGCGATTCCCGATCGAATACGGTCTCAATCGACCGCTAAAACGACGGCTCTTTTGTCCTTTACCTCTAGAAAACCACGTGTTTGGTTGACTGACGCAACGGGTTACTTTAGGTTTTGGTAGGGCCACGGCCCACGAATTACGACCATCCAACTTGTTTCTTCAAGTCGCTTTCCTTTGCTTCATTTGATGTTGATTTCGATCGAGTTTAAGGATGAAAAATCGTGAAAAACACAGCTCAACCCTTTTTGATAACGATGAGACATAGACTGGTTATGGTCCCAAAAAGATATCATTAATTGGTACAATTTCTTTCAAGAAAACATAGAATTCATAGAACCCTGGATCATACGATTCAATCATGGATTCTGGGTTGAAGCAAACAGAGGAAAAGGATCCATGATCAAATGGGTTGGATTCTAATTCGTTTGAATTCCATCGGAATTCATAGCAGGTTGTATGAATGTTACTGGGAATTAACAAGAAAATTGAGTGAAAGATGAAGAACATTGGGTGGGTGGTTTTTGTGATCATGTATCTAATTCGAATTAGCTTTGCTTAATTTGTTAGCTATGTGCTTTGGAATTGTTTGATTAACTTCATTCGATCAAGAGACTGATTTGTTTATTTGTTTGGTGTTTCTTTGAACATTTTCTTGATCTAAGTTTTGGGTGATGGAAGGAACTTAGACAAAAAACGTAAACGAAAACCCTCTTTTTGTAGGTGACCAAAGATGATTGTCCAATCATTTTCCATGACAGCTTCATCTTCACCGAAGAAAAGGTCAGTTTACACTTCATTCTCCTACGCCTTAATTGCGTCTTACTCATGGAATATCCACTTTGATGTGCTTAAAAACATCTTTAAAACCTTCCTCTGTATGAGACTTGATCTGATTACAACTAATACAGTGGTTTATGGCAGGAAAGAAAGATGGTTTCTACAATCTTAGCAGCTAAAATTGTCAATTTTTGTAATTCAAACAGTTTATTCAGTACAATAAATGAACAACAGTTTAGCTTAATCTATACAGACAGCTTAATCCATACAGAGTTTAGTGGAAAAACAACTTGACATGATGTTGCAATAGCATTATCAATTTACATTATCCACACACATCTCTAATTGTTGGGTGTTTGATTTCAGGGTGTCGTAATTGAGAAAAGAGTTACAAATCTGAAGTTGGATGAGTTTCTTTCGTATGGACCACAGAGGGAGCCGGATAAAGTAATGAATGACTTTTTTTCCATTCCGGTTTCTTATTTTTGTTCAAAAGATTCCATATCTGAAGCTATTTCGTTGATTTAATTGTTGTAATCTTGATAACATCAGGTGGGTAAGCCTTTATTTAGAAAAACAAAAGATGGGAGAATTTTTGAGTGGAAAGTCGAAAAGGATGATCATCTATGCACATTGGAAGAGGTGTTTCAAAACGTAAATCATTCCATGGGATTCAATATAGAGTTCAAATTTGATGATAATATCGTCTATAAAGAGGATGATTTGGTTCACGTCATACAAGTTGTTCTTCGTGTATGCTCTTTTCCTCTCTCGTCTTTCTCTATCTTTTTTCTCTCTTTAGAAGCATTAGCATTTGATGGATTCTTGGTTTCTAATTTTGGCAGGTTGTATTCAATTATGCTAAAGATAGATCCATCATTTTTTCAAGCTTTCAGCCGGATGCAGCTCTTTTGATCAGGAAACTTCAAACCACTTATCCTGTAAGTTACATAACCAAAGTGGATTCATTCACAGAACTCGTTATATTCATCGTCATATGATATTGTCTGTTTGTTTGTCGTTATGTTGTGATTAGGTTTTCTTTCTTACAAACGGAGGGTCTGAAATCTATACGGATATCAGGAGGAATTCGTTAGACGAAGCAATGAAGTTGTGTTTAGCAGGCGGCTTAAACGGAATCGTTTCTGAAGTGAGAGCCATCTTAAGAAATCCAGGAGTAATTAGAAGAATCGAAGACTCTAAACTCTCTCTCATAAGCTATGGCCAATTAAAGTAAGATCTCTTTTCTTGCAAAACACAAGGAAAGTTCAAGATTTGTTGTTTTTGCGCTACTTATTCCTACTTTGATTATATTTTCGTGTACCTGCTTTTTCTTCTTTTCTGTTTGTTGGTCCGTTTGTCTGTTTGAATGTTGCTGCTTACTTCTAACCCGTTCTCCAAACACAAGGATAGAGGTCATGTCTGTGTACATTCCCCCTACCTCAGCTCTGATGGGACATAGTTGGCTTGTTTGGTTTACTTTACTGTTGCATTACATCTTTACACTGATCGGTCCCCCCCCCTTTCAACTTTTCAGTAATGTGCAAGAGGTGGTGTACGCGCAACTTTTGATGGGCGTTGGTGGGGTAATAGTTGATTTGGTCCAAGATATCACAGAGGCGGTTGCGAATTTTGGCAAAACTGTTAAAGAAGAGAATGTAGTCAAAGAGGATGAAGACGACGAGATCAAGTGTTCACAATATCAGCTTTCGAATCTTATGAAGCTCATTCCCGGTTTAATACAACCCTAATTTCGACACGTAGATTGTCGTAAGAGTTGTAGGAGGTTCGAGTCCCATAAGATTGTGTACATGAATGGTATGACCATAAACTTCATGCATGTTCTATGTTGTGTGTATATGTTGATCAAGGCAATAGGAAAAGGGAAAAGACCCCGTAGAATAAAAGTGTCACTATTTGGGAGCCAAAAAATATTTGTAGGTAAATTATGTGTAAATGGGTCTTTTTCTTTTGTTTTGTATAACATTTTCATGAATTATTATATCTGGTTTTCGACTTGTGTTCAGATGTGATTCTCAAATTTGAATATTTTTATATATTATGGTAAAATAAAATATTTTTAATAACGTAATTAATTTTGTATTAAATTATAATATTTTAGGAAGAGAAAATAAATTAAATGTCAAAAAATAAGGGCATGGTGATGATTTAAAAGTTGAAGACCTCCAGTCCAGACCAACGTATGTGTCCGTCGTTTTGTAGGCAAGCTGGACCACCACACCCCACCCCACCCCACCCCCAAAACAACTAAATCACAAAACTGCCCTTGTTCTATTATGTCTATATTTTATTATTTAAAGTATTTATATATTTTTATTAATTAATATATACAAAAACAATTAAAATAATAGTCAATACATCCTGTTGCTAATCATTTGGGTTATAGAGATCGATGTAGTGACAATCTCCTTTTTTCGAGTTTGAATCCAAGTGTGTCGGAAGTCTTTTTGGTCATGAAGGTTTACCTCAAATGACTCCATATTTAGGGGCCGTTTACTAAACACTTACTCATTCAAGGTCAAGTTTTTGGACCTTGAATTCCAAATCAGAAAGATTTTTGAGCATTTGGACACATCTCTAAAATCGATGGTTACTCAACATATGGATTTGATGTTCGATTGAAATATATGAATTTAAATTGTTATGTTGTAATTTTGTAGATCCATGGAATTCCAGAGATTCTAATAATTTGTAGAGTTTCGTTTATGATTTTTAACAGATGGATAGTTACTTGACTTAGGCTCAATATATACTCGATGAATTTAAACTGTTCAACTATAGACCGTCTCATACCTCTCTAATATTTATCAGAACAAAAGTAATATGCCTCATCATTCTTCGCCTCTGTAATTTGTATGTATGTGTGTGTGTGTCTATATATATATATATATACACATACTAGTGGTGTACTCGTGCGATTCAGCGCGAGTGAATCACAATTCTGAAATATTAGTTTAGTTTTGAATCATGAGTTTATGTGGTTATTTTACAAATCAACTAATATATAAAGTTGAGGGTTAATATGTTGTATTAGCAAGATCGATTGGAAAAATAATTGCACACATGTTGAGTTTCTGACCCATATAAAGTTGAAGAGTTGAAATGGGGTACATGCAGGATCTGAAACCCTTTCTAATGTTGTTGTTTCAAATTTCAGTTTACTTCAAGAGAAAGAATAACTTTGAATTTGAATTTGAATTTTCAAAATAAGAAACAAACAAAGTGTCAAACAACTTTGGAAAGACCAAACATACATTTTTCATGAAAATATGGCTTATTTAAATCTGAAATTTTGACCAAACAAATGGCATGTTTTAAGCATTTGTAAATTATGTATAATAGTTTGTACTTAAGAGATTTTTGAATCTCTTGCATAAATTGATAGTACTTTATGTTTCGAGACTTGTAATTAAGACTTTTGGTCTAAATGCTTATTAATGTAGTATAGATATGTGTGTGTGTCTTTGTTATATTATTTTGCAGTGTAATCAAAAGATTTAGGTGTAAAGAGTTTCCAAAAAGATTGGAACGTCTTTGAAGTATAGAGAACAACTAAAAATCATACATTACAATAAAAGATGAAAAGCCTAAATAGTGTAAAATTTGTCCATAAAATTTTGGAGGTCCTATTCAAAATCATGCATTTAACATGTTAAAATTGGTCATATCTCAAGTAAGTACTCATTCATAGTATTGTGTTACTCAATTGTGTTCGATTTAAGCTCGACACTGGTTTGATAGATACAAAATTATATATATAAACCACAAGGGTGGTACTTGATTAGTTTGAGCTTGGCTCCAAAGATCAAAAGTACTAGGAGGTCTCAGGTTCAAATCCAAGGAGGTATAAAAATCCATTTGTGGTCACAGAGGTTCAAATACGGTGATTCCAGGCTATCCGCAAAGCAGGTGGTCGCCCTGGGATTAGTCGGCTCGCATAGCGGGTTGGATATCCAGGTTAATAAAAAAAATTTATATATGTATATATATACTTGAAATCATGTGAGACTAAGAGTTTTTCGTGAGACCCATAAGACCAATTATCAATCTTTGGATTAGATCTATAATCTGAACATTCATAATCACAAAATTGTGACCGTGCAACTTTAGACCATAGATCATTAGCTTATAAAGTTGATCAATGAACGTAAATTGGTCTTACGGGTTTCACGAAAAACCTTTGGTTTCACGAAAAACGGTGAGAGTTTATTCATTTCATTTAGATATTTATGAGAGATTATTAAAGTTCATTTATTATAAATGATGTTTTATATAGAAAACAATCAAGATATTTATTGAACCATATATCTATTAGATCGGATCAGTGGTTGAGATTGATTTGTACGGTTTATAATAATAGTTAGGTTTGTAAATAAAACCATCTCTAAATAAATAAATACCTTTAATTTATATTTTACTTAATTATACAAATCATTATTTTCTTAATTAAAGTAAATTAAAAAAAATGGCATACAATAGTCGTGAATAAATACATAGATGGAGATTCCTCCAGCCAATTGCGACTCCAAGCACCAAAGTTTGTTAAACATGCGTGCACGGTGCACCCTTCACCAACTACTCTTCCATGTTCCCCTTTTTTATTATTCCATTTTTGGAAATTATTTATTTTAAATTAATTCATTTATTTTTAGTAATTTATTAAATTATATATATATATATGTATATATATATGTATATATATATATGTATGTGTAGGTGGAGATTTAAACAAGAGCACCTATATTTTACGAGAACGTTAGAACACCCTTGTCACATGTAATAATACGCGTGAAAGAACTTTATGATGTGCGGACGACATGTTCTTCGACTTAGGTCGCGCCAAAGATTGTCTGCGTCTATGATTTATAGCATCACATGTGATGGTCTTGATAGATTATTAATATCATATCAACAACACCCTTATCACATGTGATAATACTTGTAGGGGGCTTAGTGGTGTATGGACGACTTGGCCCGCAGCCAAGATAGCATCGATAATCGTCCGCGTCTCTGATTTAACATCACATGTGATGGAATAATAGTATAACATGTGATTGTCTATAGTAAAAAGATGTTTTTACGTTCTCGTAAAATGAATGTGTTATCGTTTGAACCCTTCCCTATATATATATATATATATATATATATATATATATATACACACACACACATACACACACAAAACAAGATTAAAACTCATAATTTTTAAAGTTATCGGGTATTTTCACATTTTCTTTATTTAACGATCTTAATGTTTTATAAGTAGAAAACTTCTCTTTTTAAAAAAAAAAGAATGAGAAGGACAATTTAGTCAATTAGTTCATAAATCAAAAGTTCAAACTTTTATCCAACAGTTGTCCACAAAATGAAGAAAAAAATTACGTAAAATTCTAACTTTCTTAATTTTAGAGATTACAACATTAATTAAAACATCTTTAACAAATTATTTAAAATAAAAAATAGAGATTTTATCATTCATTTTACTCTAACAGATTCTTTATATTATTTATTAAAAAGAGAAAACAAGTATAAACTTCAAGTTTAAAGATTTTTTAAAATTTAAGATAAGTTTTTTTTTGTAGTTTTTATCGAATAAATTGAATTATTAATTTATATAAAGTATTTTTAAATTGTATTGGATGATAATATTATATAAACTAGTGATGGAATATGTAAAGTAAGGAATCTGGAATTAAATGTATTTTTTTTTAAATTTTTATATCATTTTTAACAGATTTTTCAAAATAGAGAAAAACTAAAAAAAAAACCCTCTAAATTTAGAGAATTTTCTTAAATTTGATGTATTTAGGGAAAAACGCATTTTATCCGGTAAGTAATGGAAAAGACTTTTACCCTGTAAACGCTTACCGGGTAAAAGACGTTTACCAACATTTTATTCAATAACAAAAAATATTACCCTATAAAGTAAGTGAGTAACAACATTTGTTATTAAACGCTTACCTAGTAAATGTTTAGAATATATTAAAGATATTTTTATATTATTAAAATATTCAAATACTATAACAAAAATCTTTTCTGGCTCCTTTTCCATTTATTTCATGACCTTTTTTTTCTTCTAAAAGTTTTGAAAGAGTTGTTAAATTTATTTTAAATAATTATAAGAATTTGATAAGGGGTAGAATCAAAACCTTGTAACAGTAACATTTTGATGGTGTTATTAAGAAGCCGTATGATCTAAAAATACATTATGACCACTGACTGCACAACGGGAATACATCACCCTCGTGGAAGGGGAACTAAAAAGGGATATGACGGAAATACCCTTATCACCGTCCAATAACATATCTTGTGAGAGAGGGTATGATTGACCACAAGGAAAGGATGTCTTTGCTTGCAAACATTGAGAAATTGACATATTTGTCCTTCCGTCAACGCTTCACACATATATATATAATTAAAAAAAAAGCTAAAAAGTACACTCCAATGTATTCACGACTGTCTCATTGTACTTCATAGACTGGGCCCCCTTTTGTGTGTTCATATGTATCTACTCATTATTTCATTCTTTTACCATTTTATATTCACAGATTTTTTTATTTTTTATTTTTACTTTTTCTATACATTGTTTTTGAGGGATTTAAATTGAAAAGGTATTTGAAATCATTGGTATATTTGGTTTGTAGGATTTTAAATGAAATTGAATTTCATTATTTATAAATATATTTTTAAAAAAATTAAATTATATTTTTATTATTCGATTATTATAAAACAAATGTTTTTAACATTTTTTTTAAATCATATTGCATACAATCCTACGAAATCTCGTAAAATACCAAGCATCCCTAAGGATTTCAAAATCCTATGTTTGTAGGATTTCAATTAAATTCTAAGATTTCAAATTCAGACATTCCAATAAACCAAACATGGGATTGGAATGGATTTGAAATCCAAATCCATTATATTCCTACAAACCAAACAGGACTTAAAAGTAAGGGGTCGTTTACCAAACACTTAACCGGTAAGCGTATACCGGTAA